CTGTTATCATGGCACAAGATTTTCAGAAGATAGAAATTTAGTTCACTCAAAATTTGGTGTAGTTCAGTCAACTTAAAGCTTGAATAAATGTTATATTCTTTTATAGGACATCATGCTTTCCAAATCTCTTTGTCCATACAACCCAGCAGCAAATGGATCTAGAACAGGTGCTGCCTGCTGGACTCAACGGTGAACAAGGGAGGAAGAACCATGTCATTTGCTCAAGAGGAAGCTAACCGAGATACACTGTAGGACCATAAATGGCAGCTATGAATCGTGTTGGTCCACTGACAGGCAGACATTCGTCAATAAATATAAAACTTAGATTAAAACCTGACTACTTTGTTACAATGCATGAAGCATCATGCCTGGAACTAAGTCTGATTTTTTTTACATCGACAGTATTGATGCCTAAAACTGTCTTATACAAGTCGCCATAGAACCCATGAGTATGCTTTTATTTTTTTTGGATGAACTGAATCGTTTATTCCCGCAGACCCATATATTCTTGAGTGCTCCCTTCCCCCAGCAGCCCCCAGTCTTTCTCCTTCTGCGGAGGGACGCAGCAGTGCTCTTGGGACGCCCTTGACACAGCTCAGGGTCCACAATCTTGTCTCCACAAGAACTGGTGCATCTAACCGTTGCAGCTTAAAACATGTTTCCTGGGCCGCCATGCTCTGGGGCTGCATCTGCGGGGAGATCATGATGCTCTGTTGGGGACCCATCATGCCCTGCACGGACATCATCATGCCCGGGGAACCCATGGGCCCGGGGTGGCTGTAGAGCCCAGCTGGACTCCAATCTTTGCCAGGGATCGTGCCCACAAGTGCAGCTCATCAGGCCGGGCTGGCTGGACATGGTGGATTGTGCTGGTGACATCATCTGGTGGTGGGGCACATCATGCCCTGCTGGAGTAAGGCTGGTGGCCGCATGGGATTGTGACCGAGCATGGATGGAGCCGTACCGAGAGGGACATTCAGAGTAGCCACTGTCCTGGGGCCTCCCATGCCAGGCAATGCCAGCCCCATTCTGGGAGCCTGTTCCCCCATCAACCCCTGCATATGCAGAAAGCTGGCCCCGGTGCCTGCAGCTGTTTGTGGCCCGGGAGGTCCCTGTGCAGGAAATACTGCAGTGTCTGTCCCTTCCATTCTCAGATGAAGAGAAACCACAAAGATAGGTTCTCTGTGTCCATGCCTGATCCCAGGGACAAACCAGCTCTCTGTGCCCCACGGATGAGCCTCAGGCCTCATCCCTCACTTCCCTGCTGCCCCTGCTGTGGAGTCCTGGCCTGAATTCACACAAACATGTGAAGTACTCAAGACTTTGGTTTTCTCTGGCATATGTCACCTTCTCCATGCTAAGACTGATATTCCGTGTTGTATGTCTCAGGTGAACACAACTGCCAGTGAGAAATGTTTCAGCAGCTCTGGTTTAAGCTAGGTGACCAGAGTCACTGAATGTTCCTGGAACAGTCTGGCCCGAGAAGCATCTTCTGCACCCTGGCAGTCACACAGGAATTTCAGAGACCAGAGAAGGTGTGCTCCTCACCACAAGGATGCCTGCTCTGAAAGTCACCCAGAATGTGCCCCAGGACTGTGGGGGAAGAATCAGTGAAAGGACAGGTGAGATCCAGAGGAACAGCAGGTCTCACAGAAGTCCTTTCTCGAGCGTCAGTTGAACTCAGCGCTGTCTCCTCTGTCCTCTCTCTGCCACCCCCCATTTCCCTGGAGCCTCTAAGAGAGCTAAAGGTCTGATAGAGACCTACTCCCACACTTTCTGCCAACACACCACCTCACACAGCACGCAAACCATGCCAAACACCACAGACACACACACCCTCACCACCTCACATACCACACACACCACAGATGACATACATGCCCTCACTACCTCACATACCACACACACCATAGACACAAACACCTCCTCTCACTACCTCATATACCACACACACAAGAGACTACATATACACAACCCCCAACACTTCACAATACCACACATGCATACCAGGCACCACACACAACACAAATCTCACTACCTCACAATACTCACAATACCACACATAACACCACACACACACACACCCATACCTTCCCCATCTCACAGTACCACACCCCCATATCTCCACACTTAGCCCTTACCACCTCACATCCCACACACATCCCACAGATAACACACACATACCTCTCACCTCACATACAACATACACATACCACAGACAAGACACAGCAAGAACACACACACCTTACCAGTTCAGGTATATGTACACTACTCACATTTCCCTACCGCCTCACAGTACCGGGCTGGAGCAATAGCACAGTGTGTAGGGTGTTTGCCTTGCACTCGGCCGACCAGACCGACCTGGGTTCAATTCCTCCGCCCCTCTCAGAGAGTTCAGCAAGCTACTGAGAGTATCTCGCCCACACGGCAAAGCCTGGCAAGCTACCCGTGACGTATTCAATATGCCAAACACAGGAACAAGTCTCACAATAAAGACGTTACTGGGCCCGCTTGAGCAAATTGATGAACAACTGGAGGACAGTGCTACAGTGCTCACAGTACCACACCCACGTCCCACAGATACCACATACACACTCCTCTCCACATCACATACCATACATCCACACCCACACCCCCTCTTTCTTCACCCCGAGGAGTACAGTTCTTCGTTCACTTGTGTTCTCATTGGTGACTTCTGTAAAATGAAACTCCCTTTCCCCAGTCACCGAGTGCTGAGCGTCCCTCATGTTTGCTCTCACACCACGCTGCTCACACAACGAGTAGCCATCACGTGCCTGCCACAGAGCTCCTTTGCTCACTACAGTCCGACAGGCCACCACCATCAGCCCCTGCACGTACCGGCGTCCCTCTACCCAAACCATTGTCACCTTACAGTGTCTTCATCAATTCAGAAAGCCAACAAAAGTCCAGGATTTGAGCTGCAGCCACATGGCACAGCTGTGTGGTCAAGGGCACACACACAACACTGGAACAGACAGGATAAATGAGTCCTGAGATTTTCGTGGTGAGCTAGCTCCCCACGCCAAGGAAAAATGTCTCCACACAATTAGAAAGGCTGTCAGCAGTGGCAGGGAGTGTGGTAGGCCATGTGAAAGCAGAAGGCTGGTGACAAACCTGGTGAGATCTGTACACAGCCTTAGGAACACAAACTTCCCAGCTGAGCCCCAGGGCTCCAGGCTTGTGACCCCTGCAGCTGACACGGAACCTTTCCAGATCATGTCTGTGTGTGCTGGGGGCAGGTGTTGCGGGATAGGGGTTGGAGAAGGGCCAGCCCAGGGCAGCTGGGCCTCATCCAGGCTGTGCTTCTTCACGTCCCTTCCCCAGTGGTAAACTCAGGAGCCTGAGCACCAAGGTAAATCCTGCAGTGCCCTGGTCCAGGTGGAGGAGAGCCAGCCTGCCCCAACGTCCACCCCCTAGGAAGCACCAGGTTCCAGGCTGAAAACATCGAGAGGGGTCAGAGAGACATCTGACTTGCACGCGGCTGGCCCAGGTTTTATCTTGGCACTGCGTACACTCACACATGAGCCCTACCAGGAGTGATCCCCGAGCACCACCAGATGTGGCCTCAAATCCCCAAAGGAAAAGATAAAGAATTTCAGGGCCAGAGAAATAGTACAGAGGGTAGGGCACTTGCCTTGCATGCGACCAACCCAAGCCAGGCCAGGGAGCCCTGAATCTCTCCAGGAGTGACCCCTGAGCAGACCCAGGAGTCAGCCCCAAGCACAACTGGGTGCAGTCCAACACCCTTCTCCCCCCAAGCCCAAATGTCAAGAGCATGAGATCTCTGGAGACGGGTTTAAAACCCCAAACCACCTTCTGCTATTAGTTCAGCCCTGAGATGTAACAGAGAAAAAGCCCCGGAAGTTGATTTCTTCATGTTTGCCAGGACACAGTCTCATTCAGACACACCTGCTGGGCTGGGACAAGCCCCTGGACCCCTGCAAGCCTTGACCCAATTAAGTCACCCCAGGTCTTCTGTGGCAGAGACAGAACAAACATTCCATTTCCTTTATTGCTACACCAGGGGGGTGGGAGTGACAGGCGAGGCTGGGACAGTGACAGGTGAGGCCAGTGGAGGGGTGAGGGCGGGGAGGGGGAGGGCAGGCATATTGGCCAGGGGAACTCTGAAATGAACGGACTTCACTTACATGCCAGAGAGAAATACAATCAGGTGGACATCCCGAGTAGGGAATGTAAACACTTAAATTACTAAGTCATTATTTTAAGCTCAAAATACTTCAATGAAAATGGCATCCAAAAATCATATAAATTACATTTAAGGTCTGTACATGATTGGAGGGAGGAAGAAAAAAACAAAACAAGACAATACTGTGCTCTGTACAATAATGCTTCCTTTGTAACATTCCAAAGCGCAGAAACACGCTCCCTTGAATTCCAGAAGAAAGACACCGGTAGGAGATGGGATCGTCATTTTCCCAATGCAGAGGCCGGTGTCTTGCTCCTGTAAGGCACATTTTCACATGCAGGAGTCGCTCCGGAGAAGCCCTTCCTTAGACACCGGTGGAGGCCACATCCTTGCCCGCTCATCTCTGCATCCCAGGGGCCACCTTCTGGCAGGGGGGCCGAGCAGCGCCTCCGCAGGGCCGGGCACTGCAGGCTGGGCCGCTCCGACTTGCATCCCGGTCCAGCGAGACCAGCAGCACCTCCGCCGGGCACCGCAGGCTGGGCAGCTCCAACCTGCGCCCCTATGCCCCGGTCCTGGCGCAGTCCCGCAGGACACACGCGGCGCTCGGACAGAACAGACGGCTTCTCAGCCGCTGACACGGCCCGTCCATGCGCCCGCGGGGAGGCCAAGTGTCCTGTTGCTGGCCGCTGCCAGCTGCCCTGCTTGCTGCGAGACGGGCCCGCGTGGCATCCTGGCAGCCGGACAAACGTCACGTCCGAGGACGGACTGCCCTCGCCTCGCACGCAGGCGCTAGCCCCCGGGCTCCGGCGGCCGCCCCGGGGCTCCGGCGCGCTCAGGCGTCCAGCGGGGCCGGGGCCTCGTCCACCTGCGGCGGGTCACTGTCGCCCAGCAGCTCCGTCTCGGGCACGGAGCCGTCCTCCTCCTCCTCCGCGGCCTCCTGCACGGGGCTCTGTGCCGCCTCGTCGGCCGCGTGCGGCGTGTCCTCGGGGCCCTCGACCAGCAGGGCGGCCCGGTCAGCGCCCGAGGTGTTGGACGGCGCCGTGGTCACGTAGCCGGTGCTGGTGGAGCCGCTGCCGCTGTGGTGGGAGCCGGGCTTGGGCACGAGTGGCGCGGGCGCCTGCTGCGGGGCCAGGGGCAGCGGGATCTGCACCGGGTAGAAGTTGGGCAGGTAGGCGCCGTAGGCGGGCACGGGCTGGTAGCCGTTGACGGGGATGTAGAGCTGCGGCGGGGGCACCAGCGGCCGAATCTGGCCCTTCATGGGGATGAACTGAGGCTGCGCGAAGGGCGGCGCCTTGGGCTTGGGGCCCCCGTAGCGCGCGTTGCTGACGTTGCTCACGGGGCTGGTGCTCAGCGAGCTGGTCTGCGTGGCGTTGCTGGCGCCCGAGGTCTGCGCCGAGCTGCTGTAGGGCGCCAGGTTGCCCCAGGCGCGCAGGCGGCTGTGGATGTCCTTGAAGCGCGGCCGCAGCCCCGGGAACTCGTTCCAGCACTCGATCATCAGCGCGTACACCCAGGCGGGGCAGTCGTCCGGGCAGGGCAGCACCTGGCGGCCGCGCACCATCTCCACCACGTCCTGGTTGGAGTGGCCGCAGTAGGGCTGCAGCCCGTAGCTGAACACCTCCCACAGCACCACGCCGAACGACCAGATGTCCGAGTCCACAGAGAACTTGCCGTACATGATGGCCTCGGGGGACATCCAGCGGATGGGCAGCAGCGCGCTGCCCACCAGCTTGTAGTAGTCGGCCGAGTAGACCTCGCGGAAGAGCCCCAGGTCCGAGATCTTCACGGTCAGCTTGTCGAACACCAGCACGTTGCGGGTGGCCAGGTCCTTGTGCACCACGTGGTGGCTGGCCAGGTACTCCATGCCCGCGGCGATCTGCACGGCCACGTGCACGAAGTCCGGAGGCTCCAGCGCCGACTTCACCGTGCGGTCGTCGTCGGCGCTGCCCACGTCCGAGTGCGGCGAGCGCATGACCAGGAACTCGTGCAGGTCGCCGTGCGGGCAGTAGCTGAAGACCATGCTGAGGGGCTGGTCCTTGGTGACCACGCCCAGCAGGCACAGGATGTTGGGGTGCTGCAGCCGCGCCCGCAGCAGCGCCTCGTGCCGGAACTCCTCCCGCAGCGGCCCCTCCGCCTTGTCCTTGAGCGTCTTAATGGCCACGGCCTGGGTCTGCTCCCCGGGGGCCGGGCTGAACAGGTGGCCCTTGTAGACCTTGCCGAAGCGGTCCTCCCCCAGCTCCTCCATAAAGCGTACGGTGGACAAGCTGATCTCTTTGAGTTTGCCCTGCTGGGGAGAGAAGCCAGTGAATCCCTGCTGGGGCCAAGAGGGGGCACAGGGAGCCAGAGCCGGGGCCTGGGGTGGGCACGGTCTTGGCTGCCCTGAACTTGCCGTTACCTGGGATTCTAAACTCTGAGGCCATGAGACTACTGGAAACTGTGCCCAGGCCTAGATACCACGGCCAAGGGAAGAATGAATGAAAGCACATCTGGACTCGCTCCAAGCCATGCTCCCCAGTCATCCGGAGCACCAACTGTCCCCAAGCACCCCGCGGGCTCTCGGCTGTGGTATGAGAGGCCAGTGGTTCCCGATCACACTTTCCCTCCCTGGCACCTGACCCCACTGCTCCATTCCAGCCAAGAATCAATAACCTCAGGCCAGTGAGTCCCTGTCCCCTGCCTGCCCAGAAGCGCTTCCTGGCTCTACTTCTCCCCTAGGAGTGCGAAGGGCCCATAGCTGCAGCTGGACGGGGCGGAATGGCCCCCTGCACTGCAGTCACGCGTGTCTGCCTGCCCAGACCACTCGAGGGGGTACAGCCTGTCTGGCCAGCCACACCCCAGCTCTACCCTGGAAAGGAAAACAGTGACGCAACCCAACTCCAGATGGATGAGGAAATGAACCCGGGTCCCTAAAATCTGCTCTAGTTTCCCAGGCCATCTGCGTCCCCAGGATGGCTGGTGAGGATGGTCAGCTGATGCGCCACAAGACCAGGCCACAGCGTTGGTGTCGGCTGGGAGGAGGTCCAGCCCTGCAGGCCGATGAGCCGGGGATCTGCTGAGCGTTGGACATTGACCCCGTTCGAGAGCAGAGTGGGGATGGCAGGGCCAGGGGGCACAGACCTGCTTGTGCTGGCTGATGAGCGGCATCTCCACGTCCTGGCTGGGCGAGGCCATGAGCTGGCGGCGCTGGGGCGTGGAGGCCGAGGCCTTCTGCTTATTCCGGCACATGCAGACCAAGAAGAAGAGGCAGGCGATGACCAGCGGGATGGCGATGCTAGGGACCAAGATGTACAGAATTCCCATCTTGCTGCTGTCCTGGGGGCCTGGGAACACACCGTGCTCATGAGCCTCCTGGGAAGTGTTCATCAATGCCACGCTCCCGCCAGCCTTCCCTCCATCCATGCCACGCTCCTGCCAACCTTCCCTCCATCCATGCTACGTTCCCGCCAATCTTCCCTCCTCTCGATGCCACGCTCCCACCAACCTTCCTTCCATCCATGCCACGTTCCCGCCAACCTTCTCTCCATCCATGCCACACTCCTGTCAGTCTTCCCTCCATCCATACCATGCTCCGGCCAGCCTTCCCACCTCCCAATGCCACACTCCCGCCGCTAGCCTTCCCATCACCCACCCAAATGCTGAGGCACCAGCATCTGGTCAGCTTCACCACACTCAATCTCTCCCACCTCTGAAAAACAAGGGCCCTGAAATCCACTTCTCGGTGCACGACCTGCTGCCCCTGCACACACGGAGCACAGGGCCACGGACCTGCTGCCTCTGACCCATGCTCTCCCTCACGCTCAGTAGTCGTGGGAAGGCGGCACCTCTATTCACTTGGCGAAACCTCGCCACCTGTCCCAGGTGTGGGCCCTGGATGGAGCTCCTTTTGTCAGCGTCTCGGGTTTCCCATCCATCCATCACGGCATCCTTTTGTTCAGGACGCCAGTGACTGAACAAGCACACAGCAGCCAGTGCATTTCCCCCATTGCAGCGTGTTCTGGGTAAGAGCTGGTGAGCTGCAGGAGTGATGCTCTCTTGCCCTCTACAGGACGTGCAGGGAAGTGACAGGGCACTGGGCTAGGGTGAGAGGTGGGCTTCCACGGGGGCAGGGTGGTGAGGCTCCAGAAGGCCCCTTCCTACCCCAAATCCCTGGGTGGGGAAGTGAGCTCAGTCCCTGAAGCCAGCAAGGAATGGAGGCCCACTGGGGTTCAGAGCCAGTTCTGGCAAGGAGTTCGTTTCTACCCGTCGGAACTTAGTGGGAAGCATCGCCCCAGCCAGTCGGCCCTCGTGGCTCCCACACGATATTCTACTCCAGAGCGAAAGTCCTACCCCTGCCCTTTGAGGGCGCTTCTCTCGGCCCTTTTGCTGGTGAGGGGATAGGGAGAGGCTCAAAGGTGAGCAGCTGGAGAGATAGTACAGCGGACAGGGCCTGCTTTGCACACAGTTGACCCAGGGTCAATCCTGGGCACCCCATATGGTCCCCTGGGCCCACTTGAGCTGATCATTCTCTTTGGGAGATGGCCAGGAGCGTCCACGTATGGCTTTGCTGCAATTTCATAGACTGCGGCTATTTCTGATGACCGTTTCACCCCCATTGCTAACAGTATGGCCATGGTGACTCTGGCGGGTCACCAGAGTTTTAAGTTGATTTGAAGTTGAGTGTGAAATAACCAATAGATTTGTTTAAAACAATTCATTTCAATCACATCCGGCCCCTATCTTCCCCTGCCTGGCTCTGAGGGAGAATAATGCATCTCAGGTGACACTGCACACACCAGAATCCAGCTCGCCAGTAGATGGACAGACACCAAGCAGCCAACATTCCTGAAAAAACAATGAGCCTGGCTCCTATTCATGTCAGAAGTGATTCTGCAACAAACATCCTTGGAGTTCTGTCCTGGAAGTTAAGCTAGCTCTGCGATATGATTTCTGGAACTGCCAGATTTTAAAGACAAAGTGTCTGGAGACGGAGAGGGGTTTGAACACATGCCTGGCAAGCGCCCCCCATGTGCTTGCCACGTGGCCTCTGAGCACTGCCAGGGCAGCGCTGGGGGTCCCTCTGGGCCGACAGCAGGCAGTCCTCGGATTCACAAACTGAACCCAAGGCCCCACTGGCTAAGTATTGCTAGGACAGACCCCTGCAGCCCTGCTTGGGAGACCCCAATGAAAAAATTGGAGGACCACACCCAGCAATGCTCAGGGGTCACTCCTAGCTCTGTGCTCAGGGATCCCTCCTGGAAGTGCTCGGGAAACCACATGGGATGCTGAGAATCAAAATCACGTCAGCCACATGCAAGGCAAGTGCTTGCAACCCACTGTACTATTGCTCCAGCTCTCAGATGTTTTTCTTTATATTTACTTAGTTTTTTTGAGCCACATCCGGAAGTGCTAAGGGCTTACTTCTGGAGGGGCTCAGGGGGCCCTAAGGGGTGCCAGGGATGGAAACCAGGTCAGCAAGTGCCCTGCCTACTCTACTGTTGCTCTGGCCCCTCTTTACATTTTGATTTATTTATCATGATGCAAAGTGAAATCACTCGTAAAAATGTCTTCTATTTGAACCTCTTGTGGGTTATGGGGAAACAAATCTATTAAAAAAATGATTACTGATCCAGGGGCTGGAGCGATAGCACAGCGGTAGGGCGTTTGCCTTGCACGCAGCCAACATGGCCGACCCGAGTTCGATTCCTCCGCCCCTCTTGGAGAGCCCAGCAAGCTACCGAGAGTATTCGATATGCCAGACATAGTAACAACAAAGTCTCCAATGGAGACGTTACTGGGCCCGCTCGAGCAACTGATCCAGAACTTAGACACTAGGTGTACATGTATTTCCACAAACTGCACTTTGAGTGAGATGCTCTAACTTCTGCAACCTTTTGCTGTAAAACGAGGGTCAGTATTCTTATTGATTTTTTCAGTCTACTTTTTTTTTTTTTGCTTTTGGGTCACACACGGCGATGCTCAGGGGTTACTCCTGACTCTGCACTCAGGAATTACTCCTGGCGGTGCTCGGGGGACCATATGGGATGCTGAGAATTGAACACGGGTTAGCCGCGTGCAAGGCAAATGCCCTACCCGCTGTGCTATCACTCCAGCCCCAATTTTTAGTCTACTTTCTTACTTTATTTTCTTTTTTGTTTTTTTTAATTTATTTTTTATTGTGCTCTTATTATTGAAATTCATTTAAAGTCCCTTTGAATTCTATAAGAAAATACACTTTACAGAGAAAAAAATTTGTTTGCAGCAACTTTCCAAAAATTCTTCCATAAAATATAAGTTACAAGTGTTCCTCTGGACAGACACACACACGCACATGCGCGCGTTCACACACACACACACACACACACACACACACACACACACACATCATTCAGTCATTTGACTTTTTTTTATAAAGAAAGATGGCCAAAGAACACAGTGACTGGTGTATGATTCTCTTCTTCAAAAAATATATATTTTTTTGTATTTTTGGGTCACACTCAGAGATGCTCTGGTCTTACTCTTGGCTCTCTGCCAGGAATAAGGGATCACTCCTGGTGGGGCTCAGGGGAGCTTATGGGGTGTTGGGGCTGGAACCTGGGTCAGCCGCATGCAAGGCAAGTGCCTTACCCGTTGTACTGTTGCTCCGGCCCCACTGTATACTTCTTTTAGGAAACTCTTTGAACAACTGCACTATTCCAGCAAAAGCGAAAGAAACATCGCCAGTTCCATTTGCCAACTGGCTTTCCACCCCCCCTCCCAGGTCCCCCCACGCACATGTGCAGTGACTACGGGGTTAAAGGGAAAGAGCACTTGAGAACTCCCCCAGCTAGAGGAGAGCCGTGGTTTCCATGGCCTTTTAATTCTCTTCATCAGCCCTCACGAGAGAGAATTCCCCACCAGCCCTCTGCTCCAGGCGCCACTGAGGCTGGGGTGCTTGGAGCTGGAGAGAATGGGATGCACGGTTGTGTCCGCCAGGACTCTCGCCACATCTTCTGCTTGCGAATCTATTTAATTTACCTAATTTTTGTTTACTGGCCGTGCCCGCTGTGCTCAGTATTTACTTATGGCTGTGCTCCGGGGACCCTACGGAATGCCAGGGATCGAACCAGAGTTCGCTGCGTGCAAGGCAAGCGCCCTACCTGTTGTACTGTCTCTCTGGGCCTCCTGCTTACAGTTTAACAGCGAAATTACAAGGGGAACAGAGTTCTATTTTCTCCTCCCTCTGTGCAGTTCCTGCAAGTCAGCTGAGGAGGCGGGGAGGCAAGGGGTGGGGACGGGTTCAAGCATCAGGAAGAAGCATCAGGGAAAAACTTCTGGGACAAAACTGCGGGAGAAACAAGACACCTTATTGAACATGCTAGAACTACAGGGGAGAAAGGGCAGGTGGCAGGGTGCTAGGATGTGAATTTCCTCTCCACAGACTGCTGGAATCAGAGGTAACTGGTACATTATTCTTCAAACTTCTCTAGCTCAAGATTCCTAGAATAACTGTTGCTATTTTCATATGCCAACAAACTATAATAGCTTGGCTTAAAACAATTCCAGGCTGGAGAGATGGTACAGAACAGAAGGCCTTGTATGCAGCTGACCTCAGTTCGATCCCCAGCATCACAGATGGTCCCCTGAGCCCCTCCAGGAGTAATCCCTGAGCAGGGAGCTACAAGCAAGCCCTGAGCACTACCAGGTGTGGACCAAAAATCAAAATAAAATATAGTAAAATTAAAAAGTAATCCTGGGGGCAAGGGAAGATAATACAGTGGGTAAGGTGTTTGCCCTGCACATGACCAATGCAGGTTCAATCCCCAACATCCTACAATGCCCCGTAAGCACCGTTAGGAGCGATTCCTGAGTGCAGAGCCAGGAGTAAGGCCTGAGCACTGCCCAAGCCCCAACAGAAGCAAAACAAACAAAAAAGTCATCTTGACCATGAAATGGGGACAGGGCCAGACCCGAGGCGGCTGGTCTCACATCACTCGCATCAGAGCAGTGAATGCCCGACAGCCAACCGAGAGAGAGAGTGATGGGGGGTGGGGGGGGGGAGGAAGAAAGGGAAAGGAAGAGAGAGGGAAAAGAGGAAGAGAGCAAGAGAGGGAGAGATACAGGGGAAGAAACAGAGGCGGAAAAGGAAAGGGCAGAGAGGGAGAGAGAGGGAGAGAGCAAGACAGAGGAGAGTGGGCAAAAGGGGAGAGTGGGAGAGAGGAGAGAACAGGAAAGAAAGAGAGCACAGAGAGAGAGAGGGAGAGAGAGAGGGAGAGGGAGAGGGAATCTGAGGAAGAGAAAGGGAGAGAGAGGGAGAGGAAGGAAGAGAGAGCAGGAGAGAGAGGCAGAGGGAGGGAAAGGGGCCAGGAGGAGACGTACCGCAGGACGGGAGGTCGCACAGCTCCATGCGCACGTTCTTGTTCTGCGTGAAGCACCAGGGCCCCTCCATCTGCCCGCCGGGGTTCCGGCAGTACGCGTGCCCCCCTCCCAGCTCGGGGAAGTCCACGCTGCTCAGGTGGTGGCTGTGGGGGTGCTGCAGGGCCCACGGCTGGCACTGGTGCCCGGATTTGGTGGTGCTGGCGGTGCCCCTGTAATCCGTGCCCGAGCCATTGTAGCACTGGTGGTCTGCAAGGGAAACAGAGTCAGAGGCTCCGTGCCCCCTCTGCAGAGCCCAGGGCCTGTCCACCCCATGCCGAGTCTCAGCAGACTGGAGTGTCAGGCCTAGAGGCCACAATGGGCCGTGTCTCCTGTCATGGGGAACCTCCCTGGTGGTCTATTGCTTAGGATTCGGACCTCTCTGATTCTGGTGGGTCACGCCTAGGTCCAATTCCCAGTCCGCACGCTACGCTGAAGGCCAGGAAGACCCAAGCCAGAAATGATTCCATGACCCTGAGTGCCTGCAGGACCCTGGGGGAGAATGTCCTCTCCCTCTTCACACCAGAAACCAAGAGGCCAGTAAAGCCCCAGTCTGGCCACTAGCTCCGGGAGGCCTAACTCAGCAGGCAGGTGCTGGGGGCCTGGGGGGGGGGGGGGGGGGGACCCTCGCTCCCAGAGGAACAGAGTGCTCTGAAGGTGTACATGCCATGGTCAGCCCTGCTCCCAGGCTGCGGGGCTCCCCAGAGCTAGGCGCCATGGAACCATGGCCAGCAGGTGACTGGAGTGCGTGTCACTGACCATCTGTACAAGTAAGGACCCAATGCTGTCATTACACTGCACAGGGCTGGGCGAACAGGGGGTGTTTGCTAGTCACATGGGGGGAGGCTCCACAGGCCTGCTGGCACCCGGGCCTGGCCCAGCCAGGGCTGAGGACAGCTGTCTGGTGCGAGGTGGCTGTCTCCGTGCCAATGATCTCCCTGCTGATGGCCGGCACTGCCCAGCCCAGAGACACATCCCGTCTGGAGTGGCCTGAGCCGATCCCTGAAGGTTCAGAGTTTAAAGTCCTGGCTGGGGAAAATGTGCATGGCCCTGTCCTGCTCCCCCCTCCCCCAGCCCACCATGGGCTGGACCCCCTCTAAGAACCTTATAGCCCTCAGGGGTCTTGCCAAGGCAGAGAGAGAGCCTGGGAGGTGGGGGGGGGGGGGGGGGCGTTGAGCACAACCAGGGGCTGAAGACTCAGGTGCTGGGCACTGTCCTTCAGCCCCCGCTGCCTAGTCAGCAAAGGGATCTGCGGGGGTGGGGCAGCTCTGCTGGACTGAGGCTCTCACCGGGGAGAGGCCTGGCTGGGGGGACTATACTGGGGGCTGGCATCAGCTGCCTTGGACAGGCCACTGGGGTCCACTGGGGCTGGCACAGGACACCCACTGAGGGCCCACTGGGGACCCTGCTGGGGTCAGCATGGGCAGCTGGGGACTCTGCTGGGGGTCACCCGGCCACCAGGGACTTTGCCAAAGGTTCCCAGCCTGCAGGGGTCTGCTGGGGTGAGCTGGCCTGGAGCCCACTTGGGGGCTCTGCTGGGGGTTCTGCTGGGGGTCAGGGGCCCGCTGGGGGGTTCTGCTGGGGGTCAGGGGCCCGCTGGGGACGGGGGCGGGGTGCAGTCGCGGGGTCTGGGTGCCCGTCGTGGGGTCCGGGGGCACGTTCGCGGGGGTCTGCGAGGTCCGGGATGCAGTCGCGGGGTCTGGGGACCGGTAGCGGGGATCCGGGTGCCCGTCGCGGGGTCCGGGGCGCGGTCGCGGGGGTTTGGGGGCCCGTTGGGGGGTCTGGGGGCGCGGTCGCGGGGTCCGGGGGCCTTTCGCGGGGGTCTGCAGGGTCCGGGGCCCGGTGGTGGGGTCCGGGGACCCGTCGCAGGGTCCAGGCGCGGTGGCGGGGGCCTGCGGGGTCCGGTCACGGGGACGGGGGTCTGCGGGGTCCGGGGGCCCGTCGCAGGGGGTCTGGGGGCGCGGGGGCGGGGGTCTGCGGGGTCCAGGGGCCCAGCGCGGGGTCCGGCGCAGTCGCGGGCACTCACAGCGGCCCAGCCGCTCGGCCGGGATGCCGATGCGCATGCAGCTGGCGGCCGCGGGGCTCTCGGGCAGGGGCAGCGCCTCGCACTTGGGCAGCTGCAGGCGCATGAGCAGCAGCGGGTCGGCGCGCGCGATGGAGTACTCCTGGCGGCACAGCTCGCGCTCCAGCACCTCGCACTCGTCGCGGCACAGCTCGCGCGGCTTGGGCGCCCGGGAGCGCGCGTCGCACAGCGGGAAGACGAAGTGGCAGAAGGACGGGATGGCGAACTGCGAGCACTGGTCCGACAGGTGCGTGGACGTCCCGATCATGGTGAAGGCGGCTGCGGGGACAGAGGGGTGAGAGGCCCGCCCGACCCCGGCTCCCGGCCCCGGCCTGGGCTCGCCCCTGCCAACGCCCCCAGCCGCTCTCCGACCGGACCCCGGCAGCCTGACCCCTGCGCTGCCCGGCCGATCTCTTCCGCCCTCTGGCCCTGGGGCCACTGGAGCCGCCGCGAATTCCCAGACCAGAAAGTTCCTTGGACGAGGCCGCCGGCACATCTAGGCCCGCTTCCCCCGCGGCTGTTGGAGCTCAGACCCCAGAGGTCCAAGGGGGGAAGGGGGCATCTCGGGCGCTGGGTCCACCCACGCCCTGCTCTGCAAGATAAGGACAGGAGTCTGCAGCAGTGGGCAGGAGGAAAGTTTCAGGAGGAGGAGGGGGAAGAAGGGGCAGTCCCAAACAGCTGCAGGAGGTTCCTTTCCAGGAAGGCTCTTGCTGGCCTTTGGAACCCGGGGCAGAGAGCAGCGTGGGCAGCAGCATCCGCTACCGCAGCTCCTGGATTGCTATTTTGGTGCAGAGGCAGAGGCTGGCCGGGGTGGCTGGGAGGGAGGCAGCCCTGGGGGAGAAGCTGCTGCCTCTGTGAGCTGGTTTAGCGGCGCAGGACACGGGCTAGGTGAGGCCTGGGTGAGGGGCAGGCCTGCGTGAGGCTCTCCACTGGGCCGTCCCCAGATGCAGCTGCCAGAACAGGGCAGCCAGCTCTGAGCCCACCTCACCTGTCAGTGCAAGAGCCCCGCGGGCAGCGACATGATGGTGGACAGAAGGGAACAGAGGCCCCGGGCTGACACCTCCCGCTGTGGCTGTTTCTCCTGAATCCCCAAGGACACAGGAATTGAGTCCTAGGCCCGCCAGCTCCACCAGGACTTGGGGGTGCATGCGAGCCGCGACCAGCAGGTGGCGCTGCAAGCAGCACGCAGGGCCAGTGCAGGGACCAGCTCCCTGCCAGGCTGCCTGACCTGGGGGTAGCGGAGAGTCGCCCCCTTCTTTCCTGCCGGGAGCTGCCCCTGGGACTAAAGCTCAGGGCAGCGCAGGTGGAGCCCTCTGCCCTGCACGTGCCTCTCATCCTGGGGCCTCCTGGCCCCCTCGGTCCAGCCCCAGTGGAGGAAGAGGGAGGAAGGCAGTAGTCAGAGGGGGTTCCCTCCCACCCGACCCCACCGTGGGCACTACTGTGGGGGCTGTTCAGTGCCCGGGATCCTCTAAGAGGGACACTGCCTTAGAAAGGCCAGTCCTGAGTTGGGTGTGTCACTGGCTAGAAGAGAAGGAGTGGCTAACTATTTCCTCTTTCCCAAGCCTGCCTGCCTGCCTGCCTGCCTGCCTGCCTGCCTGCCTTCCTTCCTTCCTTCCTTCCTTCCTTCCTTCCTTCCTTCCTTCCTTCCTTCCTCTCCTCCCCACCTTCCCTCTCCCCCCCCACCACCCTGGGGTAATTTCACTGGCCAGCACTTCTTGGTGTCCTGGTGGTTCTTGGGAGACACCAAAGCAAGACCCAAGGGGACCGTGCACGGCCTGCGCTGGCCGACTCCAGGCTCCTCTCTGACGCTCAAGCCAAGCTCTTGTCGTACCCAGAACTTTACTCCGAAGGTCTCCAGGGCCTTCCACAGCGGCCTCAAGAGTCCAAGAGACCACCTGGACCAAGCCTGCTCCAACCACCCCATAACCTACGGGACACACAGTCAGGTGCAGAGAAAGGGCTCCGGGACAGTGGAGTTTGCTGTGTATGTGGAGGACCTGGATTCAATCCCTAGCACCCCATAGCCTCCAGAGCACTGTCAGGAGGGACTCCCAAGTATTGACCAGGAGTAATCCCTGAGCACCTCAAGGTGTGGCCTCAAAATAAAAACAAACATAAAATGTAAGTTGGGTTTAAACGACTTTAAATGTTTTTGCTTTGGCTTGTTGGGTCATATTCAGTAGTGCTCAGGGGTTACTCCTGGCTCTGTGCTCAGGAATTACACCTGGCAGTGCTTGGGGACCATATGGGATGCCGGGGATCAAATCCAGCTCGGCCACGTGCAAGGAAAACTCCCTCCCAGCTGTACTATTGCTCCAGCCTATGGCCTTAAATTTAGCTTTTAAAAAATTCCACAAAATAGCACAGCGGTAGGGCGTTTGCCTTGCACGCAGCCAACATGGCCGACCCGAGTTCGATTCCTCCGCCCTTCTGGGAGAGCCCAGCAAGCTACCGAGAGTATCTCGCCCGCACGGCAGAGCCTGGCAAGCTCCCCGTGATGTAGTCAATATGCCAGACACAGTAACAACAAAATCTCCAATGGAGACGTTACTGGGCCCGCTCGAGCAAATCGATGAACAACGGGAGGGCCTTTACCATTTTTTTACCTTTTAAAGTCTTATCTAAAAGTCCTACAAAAACAGGCTTTTTAAAAATCCTTTAAACAATTCCTGAAGGAAAAACATAGAGAGTCTGGCATTCAAGGTCTGCTGGATCAACAGAACCTGGTGAAACTGAGGCATTCCACTGCCCCTTCTTGCTCCTTCGAGTCAGGAGAGAAGTGTGTGTGTGAGTTATATATTTTTTATGTGATATCTGTAGTCTAGATGGGAGTGTAGCATAAGTGTGGTGGTATGGTACACAGTGTGTGGTGAGGTGTGGTGATACATGTGTGTGGGGTATGATGTGTATGTGGATAGTGTATAGTGTATGTGTGGTATGATGCAGTGTGTGCAGTAAGATGTGGTAGTGTGTTGTGTGTCATATGTGAGGTGTGTATAGTATAGGTGTGATGGTGTGGTTATATGGTGTGTGGGTCGTGTGGTGTGTGTATGCGCGGAGTGTGTTTAGTGTACTGTGGTGTGTGTCTGCAGTGTACACAGTGAAGTGTGATGTGTTGTGCGGCATGTGCAGTGTAGCTGTGATGGTGTGTGCGCATGTGTGTGTCTGCACGCAGGAGGGAACTCTGCTGGGGTTAGTCTGGTTCATTCCTCCCCTCTCAGGGAGTCCCAGAGGAGCCTGGAGGCTGAGCGCCATGTGGCCCCTCCTCAGAGCCTTCTTTCCACAGTGACCTTCGTTGCTGGGCAGAAAAGAGGGACCAGGAAACAGATCTGTGGCTCCTGCCAAGCCAGACGCAGGTCTGGGCTCTCTGTCACATCCCCTGGTCACTGTTGCACGAGGGGACACGAGTGAGGAGAGGCAGAGAGAAGTTAGTGGCGGGCAGCGGGAGCAAGGCGTGGCTGCTCTGGCCATGGCCCAGACCTCGTGGGGCTGGACAGCTCAGAGGGACTCGCTGCCTGAGGCACTAGCTGGCTGCCTAGCACGGCGAGCCTGGAGTCACGGCCACTGGGTGCTCCAATGCTGGGGCCGGGGCCTACCTGTGATCCGGTTCTCGATCTCCCCCTGCATCTGCAGCGAGTCTACGTAGATGGTCCTGTTCCCGATAAAGCGCGCACAGGCGATGCCCCGGTACGGCTGGCAGAAGCCGTCCTCGTGGTAGTCATCTCTGGGGACAACACAGACTGTCAATGTCCCATAGAGGGGCTTCCTATCCTTCCCATCACGCTATTGCTGCACCTTCTGGCTCAGCGATAGTGTCACGTGTTAATCCAAATGAGTTGAAAATACATGTTCACACAATACTAACAACCTAAGTATCCACAGATAGGTGGATTTACACACACACACACAAAAAAAAAAACCCACACAATTGAATACTATTCAGCCATCAAAAAGATAAAAAAAATCTTGGCATCTGTGACATCAATGGACCTTAAGGACATTATGCTAAGTAAAACAAGACAAAGACAAATACTGTGTAACTTTTTAAAAAGTGTAGGTACCGTGATGTGTACAAAGTTGTGAATAATACTGTCTCAGGAATACAATCTTCCCACACTGAAGCCACCCCAGTGTCAGCACTCTTCCATTGAAGTCCCCAGTCCCCTTGGTGGAAGCTAATAAAACCCAACATTATGGACACAGAGACCAGACTGGTGGCAGCATCAAAGAGTCAAGGCCATCAATAAAGGGCGTATTTTCGTTGTTTGGGTCTCACAAAGTTGTGTTGTGACTTTCTCCAGACTCTGTGCTCAGGGTTCACTTCTGGTTGAACTTGGGGCACCATAGGCAGTGCCGGGGATCGAACCTAGGTCATCTGCAAGGTAAGCACCTAACCTCCTGCCAAAATACTTTTTAAAGAGTTTAAAATGAAAAAAAAAAGAGTTTAAAATGTATCAGACCTGCATTCCTTTTGGATGTTCATAGCACCTTTTTCCAAAAAGGGCCAGAACTGGGAAACACTGAGGATATAACTAAACTGTGATACATTCAGAAAATAATTTTCTCCAGCAGTACTTTTATTTGGCTACATCTGTACTAAACATGTACAAAAATTTGGGGGGGGGGGGGAGTCATTCCTGAAGTAGCATCCTAACAACTATTTATACATTATTTGCTGTGTATCTGTGAGTAATCTAGAGATGAAAATATATAGGAGGATTATATAGGTTCCTTGAAAAATCACACCACTTTTTACGGGGCACTTGAGCATTCTGGCATCCCCAAAGGTGTGGTGTGTTGTGGGGTGGGATGGTGGGGGGTGTGGGGTGTGTGTGTGTGTGTGTGTGTGTGTGTGTGTGTGTGTGTGTGTGTGTGTGTCTGTATTCACTTCTGAAGTCAATCCCCCGAAGTTAATGTGGAACACAGAGGATGTTGATGTCAAACATGTGTAGCCTTATCCTTAAACTCCAGCAGCAACATTAGAGTGTACTTTGGTTACTAAACCAAAAGAAAGGCGTCTCTGAAAATGGTAACTTGTAAAGTAAATTTGTAGGGCAGAAGAATCCTCAAAAGAGAGAAGCAATAGCAGGGATCCAGGAAAGTCTTACAGAACATCCTTAAGATGTAATGTGTAAAAGTTTTCTGGACTCCAGGGCCAGTGCTCTAGCCAGAGCAGCCTGGGAGTGAGAGCGAGGCTGCCATGAGCATGTTCGTCCAGGGCTGCAGGGAGCACTGCACAGGTGCCCTCGGGTCTCTGCTGTCTGTCGATGTGGCCGTCAGCAGCGGCCTCCTCAACCTAAGAAGGCAGGTGCTCTTGAGAAGTGGCCCTTGGTAGATCAGCGAGGTTGCCGTTTGCTAGGGATAAAACAGGGGCCTGGGGCTCTCTGGACAGGCTCTGTGCCGGGGGTCACTCCTGGGAGTGCTCCGGGGACCCGATGCAGTGCGAGATATGAAGCCAGGTCAGCTGCACACAAGGCCAGATGCTGGCCCTGTCCTCTCCCAGGCTGCACGGTTCGACACATTCTAAATTAACACCAGCATAGCAGGATACAGAAACATTTCATCCTGGAATCAGAACGCATGGTGCCTGACTTTCAAGGTGATCTTGGTTAAACCAGTCAAGGCAACCACATTCCGGGCTGTAACAGTGAATGAAGTAGAACCCGCTTTCCCTTGGGAAATTCTTGCTCTGGCTTCTTTCACGGGTGTAAAATCTGAACAGTCTTCCCGTGGCAGCAGGTCCATTGGTGCTGGGCTGTTGTGTGAGAAGAGCACCACAGTCCTCTGCCCACCTGCTGATGGACACATGTGCTTCCCCACTCCCCGTATGGTCCCCTGAGCACCACCAGGTGTGATGCCTGAACATAGAGCCAGGAGCAAGCCTCGAGCACCACTGAGTGTGGCCCAGAACCAAATAAAAAGAATGAAACAAACTGTCCATTCTGTGGCTGGGCTAAGGTTTTGTGGCAGAGCACATGACTCGCAAGTGTGAGCCCCAGAGCATGGCTGTGAGTGGTCACTGGGAGTGCACTTGGTCCAGATGACCATTCCCAACACCAAGGTTCATGTCACGGGAATCTCAGCAAACTGTTTTTGAGTTGTTGGCATATATGAGACTGAGCCTCATAAATTCTGAGGCAAGGTTCATATCAAGTAGCACGAGGCATAAGCCAATGTCTCTGACATCCTAGGGAGGTGCCTCGTATTCTGGTATTCTCTGGGAATGCGGCTGGCATTCTCTTTGACAGTATTCAGCATCTCCCTCCCAGGTCCCACACACCCCTTCCCTTTGAGCGTCTTGTGTTCCCTTAGGCAGTTTTAGAGCGAGGTGTGTGAAAGCTCTCCCAGGCGTAATAATGCATAATAACTGTGGGCTTACGGGAAAACAAAAAGACTTGGTGAAAGCACTAAGCAAGTTCCTACATGCCAAGCACGGCTATCATCCCTGCACAGACGTTTTCTCTCGCGTGCTTCCCTGAACCTTCCAAAGGAAGGGCATGTGCACATACTCTAATATGCCAATGGTTTGTCACCAATGTCTCATGTTGCCTAATGCCAAGTGTGCTAAATTTCTGTGCTTTCTTCAGGCTCCGTGCTATGAAATTCAAGGAGATATTTGGTTTCTGGAAAACAGAGCCCATCGTGAGAAAAAAGTGGTGAAGAAAACAAAAGGTTGTTTTCTTGACAACAACAGAGTGTCCCCATCCCTGTTCATTATCCATTGGCTTGTGGCACCAGCATCCATGGGGGCAAAGTCAACCTATTGCCTGCCTCTGTTCACTTCACAGCAGCCAAGTGCATGCTCTCTCTTGCAGTCATGTTTAATTATAGGCCTGCCCGCTGGCAGACCTAGACATTTTTAATAGTGCTATTTTACTGTAATTAGGTTAAAGTTTGAACAAGACGCCGGACAATTCCCTAAAAATAAGGATGGAAGGAGTCTCAGTAGTGGAGACTGAGTTTCAACACGCAGGAGTGAGGGGCCTCTGAGTCATGCCAGGGGGCTGTGAAGGGGATTGGAGGCAAAGAAGGAAGTCAGACTGCAAATGGAGATTCCAGGGCGGTAAGCACACAGTGAAGCAGTGCAGAGGCTCAGAATCACCCCTGGTCTGTTAAGTAACAGGACGAGACACCTCTGGGTGTGGCCCCAAGGAAGGTGATTTCCTAGAGCCAATAGTGAACAGCATTTCCACTGTCCAGGAGATCGCTGTGCATCCCTTCATAAAGGTTTGCTGAAGCACGTCCGGGGCTCAATTTTAGGGAGCCTCCCCTCATCCTCTCTTTATCAGACTAACCAGCAAGTCACCTTCAGATACCCCGAAACCACGTCGCTCCCCCAGCCCACTCCCAAGCCACACTGCTTGCTGTACCACGTCACCCGCCCCCTCACTGCCTCGTCTCACCTCCTTCCCCTCGGCACGATGTGCAAGTGTATGGTCCCGTAGTTGTGAAAGTATTTTTTTAAGATAAGGGGGGAAAAAAGGAAATATGAGACGCCGAAACCCACATTTAATCCTCCGCATTACAGATGCTCTCTGCGTCAGCTCTAATAACCCGTCTCTGAACCAGGCCGCAGAGACAAACGCAGCTCTGTTCTCTATCCCCCACGCTCCGCACTCCTTCGCCGAATGGAAGGGAAAGCCGCGCTGCAGCTGCAGGGGCGGCCGAGGACTGCCACTATCCTCATAGCACACGCTGGTGGCCACGGTGTAGAGTGGGGACCCGGCAGGAGCAAGGAGTCATGAGTCAGCCACACGAAGCCATGTGCGGATGCAGGAACCGAGAGCTCCATGTCCGAGGCTGAAAGGCCACACCTGCACTGTTCCCATTCCCAGTGTTCCAGTCCAGACGGGACTGCCTAGGGCCAGCAAGAGCAGGGCTGCATATCCCACAAAGGACACGTGGGTGACACTGCAGTGACAGGAACTGTGCACCATCCTCTCTTAAACCCTAGGGCCTCCATCTTCTGTCTTCATTCTGGCTGACTCTCAGAGGAACATCACAGGGGGAGTCAGATCATGATATGCAGACACAGTCCAGCAGGGTTGGGGCGGGGGGAGGGACAAGATCACAGACCTGGGAAGACAGGACAGGTCAGGGGAGATGTCAAGGAAAGGCCATTGGCCAGCGAGAGAGAGTCCTCCACCTGCCCGGGTTCCGGCCTGAGTTGTAAGACCTTCCCAGGAGCCCCAGCACTGACTTCGTGAAAGGAAAGAACTATATGATCATCGTCAAAAGACAGAGCTTCTCTGCACATCTAATATGAAATACACACGATAAAACTCATGCAGCAAAAGCCCAAGACAACCATGGCTGAAGACACCAGGTGGCTGCAGGAGCCAAGGCACTGGTCAGGGCTATGTAGGAAACAATCTAGTCATCAGGGGGATGAACCCATCCCTGCTACTGCAGCAGAGGGGCGATACAGAAAGCAGGTATGAGTCTTCAGTTCCAGAGGCTGAGTTCAGTCCTGCCAGCTGCCAGTCAATTCAGTTTTCAGCCTGCATGAACACCCTTTGCCAAGCCCTTCCTTGGCAGAGAGGACGAGACGGAGAACTCGGGTTGGCTGTTTTCTTCCTGGAACCCCACCCAGCCGTGGCAGGCCTCACTCTGGACTTGGCTGCCACTTCTGCCAAGGCTCCATCTGGAATATTGTGGTGGTTAAGACTCCACCCTAAGAATCGGGGACATGATTGAACCCACAGCAGCAGGTGTGATTATGTC